TACTACTACTACTACTACTACTAACAATTAATAGTAATAATGATGACGATGATAATGATGATGATGTTAACGATGATAATAATAACAATAATAATAACTGACAATGAAATAATTCTCATTACTATGATTATCTATTATTATTATCATCATTATACTTATCATTGTCATTGTTATTATTACTATTACTATCATAATGATTAATATGATAAATGATCACTAATAGTGATGATGATGATGAAAATGATAATAACAATAATAATAATAATAATTATGATAATAATAACATGATAATGATCTTGAGAATAGTAATAATACTAATAACAATGATGATAATTATGATGATAATAAAAATAATTAGAACAATAATGATCATAATGATAATTAAAATAATAAAATAATAATAATAATAATAATAATATAATAATAGTAATAGTGATAATATAACAATAATAATAAAATAATATTGATAATAATAATAGCAATAATGAATTCTAATAGCAAAATAAAAACAATAACAATATAATATGAATATATAATAATATGAATAATATGAATAACAATAAAACAACAACAAAAATAATGACAATAATGATAATAACAATAACAATAAACAACAAAACAACAATAATGATAATCACAACAATAAAACAACAAAAAACAACCATAGTAATAATAATAACAATAATAATAATATAAAAAACATTAGTAATAACAACAATAAAACAACAACAATAATAATAACAATGACGATAATCATAATCATGATTATAACATTAATAATAATGATGATGATAACAGAAAGAAGTACGCTATTGGCAAATATAACTGATATCACTGTTAATAACAGTGATGACAATCATGATGATTAAGATGAAATTTTAGTGATAACAATGCTCATGCCAATGCAATGCAAGTGTTGATGTAGATTAGTCATACCTTTAAATAGCCTACATACAAAGCTTCGCAAACAAACACAGCCATAACGCCAGCTAAACACAGCTCCAGCCTAAAAAAAGACATTATCCCTGCCCACAAACCTGTCCTTCTCCTTGGCCCTCCACTTGCCCCTCCCTCCTACAGTAACCGCCCGTGTGACGTAACGCAGTTGGTGACAGGGCCAGATGATGACATAAGAATCTGTCCCTTCCCTCGCCCGAATCAGCGAGTTCTTTAGTGCGAATTGCCTTCTTTTAGAGTTCGGACTCAGTGAGTGTAAAGCGAGTTATGTCTCCATTCAGCAAAGCGAGAACGCCACTTTTCCTCCCAAAATTGTTGCGGCTCCCTGGTGGCAGCGCGGTCGCCTGACGAGACTCAAGTGTGTGCTTACGTCGCCGTTTTTTTTTATTCGGGTTGTTTACACTACTTTTGTCTGCTTGTCTCTGCCTTCTTTCTCGCGGGCGATTGTTTGTCACCTTGGTCTATTTGGCTTTGTGTTTCACTTGTGCGTAATTATTTGCTTGCATTGATCTGTTTGCTCTGTTCTGTAGTCATTTGGACCCTCCAGGTGTGTACACAGAGTAATAGTGGCGAAAATAACAATGCAAGTTGTAACTTCCATCACTGTCAGTACCAAATACACTAAATAAACTGCGTACTTGTTATAATCGAATGATCTTCAGCATAGAAACAGGTTTTCTTTGAATTGCGCATAATTACATGTTAAGCTAATATTAATAAACAAGTTTGGACAGAAAGAAAACTAAAACCAGGACTGCATACTGGATATGTATGCATGCA